TTGCAACAGGATCTATAATTATACGTCGTTTTGGAGTCATTACCCCCAATTGATTACCTGCGACGTCCATGATTGTGATGCGGCAAAGATGGCGCTGTTGTTCTGCACAAAGATAGCTACGTCCGATACGGATTCACCCCAAAAATCGTTCAGTCACACTGTTCCACGCTCTCGGTCAGATGTAAGTAAAAAAAACTAGCCTGATATATATATATACAACCGATTGCTAAAGCCACTCCCAAACATCCTCTTTTAGAGGATAACACCGGACATCCCATATACACAAACCCCCCTTTTCACACCCGTCTTCACCTTTTGGTGATCGAGCCCCCCACCACTAATAGAGGATGAGGCCGGACATGCCCTAATACACACCCCCATGTCTTTGTTGTTCAACCTTGCTATGACCCCAATCTTTTTTTTTCTTTATTCATTTTATTTTTTAATTAAATGTTATTTTGTTATTTAATTTATTATTAATTTTTTGATTAATTAATTTTTTGATTAATCAAAAATGTATTCAAGTGCACGACTGTTACGTGCATCACATGCACGCGCTTTGCTGGCCTTTATTTACTACTCACAACAACTATCACTCAAACCAACATCTCCACAAAGCTTTATCAGACTTTACAGCTTGAAGAGGTCGATCACTGAAAATAATAAATTTAACAGCTGTAAGGAATTGGTAATCACACTTGTATCTAACCAATTCCCTCATTAAGTACAAATAACCAGCCTAGAGGTCGAACAGTTCTCATCCCCAAATTCTAGTTAGAATATTGCTTTCTTCAGTCAGTCAATCAGTTATGGAAGGATGGCCTATTCATGTCTTCTTAAAAACACTGTTAATAGACTACCTCTGACAAAAGATAAACCAACAATCTTCTGACTGTAGATGGTTTTGTCAAATGAATAAAGAATAGAATAGAATCTTTAGCTACACTGGTTGTTGAACTTGAAATTCAAAAGAAATTATAAATTGCTCAACATGAAATAATGTCTTGAAGCACAATAGTCGAGGGCCATCATTTGAACATTTAGTGATACTCTTCAAACATAAATGAGGAACTGAAATGACCAATTTGCTGCAACATTCTGCTTCCTTTACCCAGTTGTGAATGACACAAGAATCATTACTGTAAAGTCTGAGGATGTTTTTTGAAGTTTAAATGTTTGAAGTAACCCAGTATTGAGAGTGATCCATGAAACATGAGCCCTGATCAGGTACCAGAGACTTGACGGTGTTAAATTACTTCATGTTTCCTAATAAGTGCATATAAGCATCCTGGGTAGGAAATTTCAACTGCCCTTCTAAACACCTTTATGTTGGCAGAATTAGTCATTTTGTAAATAAGTGTTTAGTTAGATTCTTACCTGATGATGGTCTGAGGACCAAAGCATCAATACTACTTCCTCTTTCCCCTCTCTACTTTTTAACAACACTCTGCTTGGTCAGAGTTTTCACATCTTCTTATTTGCAGACTGTGACAATGTAGGATGTGCATGAGGAGACATGGAAGCTGTGATTGGACTGTTGCTGATGCTACTCAGAGTCTCTCATGGTGAGCTGATTAACTTATTTATTTGGACACATTTTATGCAGTTATGGGATGAGAACATTCAAAATGTGCAGTCTGACATCATCTTCAGTGATGTGTTTCCCAGCTTAAACACTGACCCATACTGGGACCACATTCATACAAGAATCAGGAATATTAAATAAATAAATAGGTTTTGTCAGCTTTCTCTATTTACATATGAGGGTAAATTAAAGCAGTTTATTTTTATAACTACAATTGAAATTGAGCTACAAATAACAGATACAAAAGATACGCAAGAGTACATGGAAATAAAAGCACATAATTGACCTAATCATTAATGTATTTATTGATGATGACTAAATCTCAAGGAACTTCAAAGGCCCAAAACTGAAAAACTGAAACAGAGAGAGGTATTGTATTCTCACTCAGAAAAAAGAGGAAACTCAGTTATAAAGCCAATGCTGAAATGTATTCATTAACTAAAGGTTCTACTAAGAGGAGGGATTTTGCACCAGTTGAAATGTTTTTATTTGGTCATGGCTCACAAGAACATGTTCCTGCCTGCTGTAAGAGAGATACTTACAGTTACAGTCCCCATATCATTTTCAGTTTTTCAAAAAATAGATCTAATTAAATAATCATGTTAATATTTTTACATCTTGTCTTTCACAAATGTAATTTAAAATTTTACCCATGTTCTTCATAAATCCTTATTTTCACATTTTTCCTGAAAGTTGCTTCAGAGTAAAATAGTGAAGAAAAGAAAAAACTTTACAATCTTGTACTGACACTTTATTGCAGCTACACAATGCTCACAAGAAACATTAAAAAGACACTAAAACACACAATGTTTGTATTGTATTTTAGTAGCTTGTTCATCTATATATATCATATATAATTGATGTATTATTAGATTATTATTACTGATGTAAAATTGAAGTAAATTAGGTAAATGTGGTGAAGTATAAAGTACAATGTTTTCTCCTGAATGTATTGGAGAGGAAGTGTAATGTAGTACAGCAAATAATCGAGTAAAGAACCTCAAACTTTACTTTAGCAAAAGTACTTTCAGTTCACTTCTGGTCACATGCCTGTGTAATAACTTCCTGTTTGCAAACTGTGGTCTGAAACAGCTCCAGCAAAACCCACTGTCTCTGTAGATCTGTTGATTTAGAAGAATTAGAAGGAACAAAATTGTTAAAATTTTTTACAGCTTATGTTTCAAAATGTCCAGGTGTGGAAACCTACTGTTATGGCGGAGAGGATGGAGCTCAGACTTCACTTTAGTAAATTTACTTAATTACACTTCACGCCTGGGCACATTGCTGTGTAATTCTTAGCTGCACAAGAATAAGTTCATGTTTTGTAAGCTGGTCTGAGAGAAACACAGCTGCAGTGAACCCACTGTTTTTGTGGGTTTAGTTACATCTCATTGTCATTCATCTTGTTATTTTTATCTATTTTTTTTTTTTACAGCTTATATTTCACAATGACAGGATGGAGCTCAGTGGAGCTTTGGGAGGAACTGTGGTCCTCCAGCTGATGGACAGCGCCTCAGAAATATTTAAACCAATTGTTAAGCAACAGAACAGTAATACTTGCAGGGAGAAAGAATCAGATTCTGTTTAATGTGATAGAAAACAGATCCTCATTTACTCCCATTAATGGAACATTTAGGATCAAAAACCTGAGCTGGACTGATGGTGGTGAATATACTCTTGAAATCTTTGATTCAAATGGAACGAGATCAGAGCAGCGGACTTTACAATTACAAAAACATTATTATAAATATCTGTACCATCATTCATTCAGTCTATAGCAACATTACCTTTACTGTCTGTACCTCTGTGTGTATATTGTGTAGGCTATCTCTCTTAAATGGGGAGGATAGAACAATGGTTATTTATTGTAACCCTAGTTCTACAATCATAAGGGGACCAGCTGACTCAGAGTATCATTTACATAGAATGAACTCAAGTGGACAGACTGTCGCTTTGTAAAGGTTTCAGTGCACTGCTGTCTTATAAGAGTGATAAAGATCCAGAGGCCACAGCTCCACAGCTCTGTTTATACTAATGCTAAATGTGATATTGTGAATCAAGCTTACACAATCTGATGCACTACAGAAATAATAGTACTGTAGATTTCCACATTGTGGATGTCCAGTGAAAATGATATATCTCCAAATGAAGTTAAATTGAAGGATAAAGCGTTTCTTTATAGGGTGAGAACAATCTCCAACTTCTTCAGGTAAATCAGCCATTTTAAACACACTGGATTATCCAAAAACAGGATTATTTTATTAGGACAAAAAAGTTTTTTCACTTTTGTATTGGTGTGAGGTTTCCCTCTACTGCTTTGCAGAGGTATTATTGTTGCTTTTGGATAATTCTGTATTCAGTAAAAAAAATATAATCTTCCTCACTAATGTTGAGTGCGAAACATGCATGGTTAGTGCTGCAAGTGCAATAAATGAATGACAACAGTTGCCAGTGGAGGGCGACAGAAACTAAGAGAGGACAGAGAGAGGAGTGGGGTGTTTACATGAAGAATTATACAGATAAGCTTCAAACCAGGAACATTGAAGAGAAATAGTTTTAGCTGTGGGCTAACAGCACATATTTAATTTCCTTGTGTTTGTGTTATAAATGAGGAACTGAAATAAGCAGTTCAGTTGGTTAATCTTCTAACTCTTGTAGCTTTTTTTTAATTGAACATTATTCTTCGTCATCCATCGTCAGTCGCAGGGGGCTGGAGCCAATCCCAGCTGGCAAGGTCGCCGGTCCATCTCATACACGAACAACCACTCACACTCACAATTTAGGGTCACACACCTAGGCCACATGTCTTTGGATGGTGGGAGGAAGCCGGAGCACCCAGAGAGAACCCATGCAAACTCCCCCAACATGCTGTGAGGCGACAGTGCTAACCACTGTACCACTGTGCCGCCCTCATTGTAAATCCAATAAGCAATGTTATACACATTTCTCTGTCATTTATGATATTTTGATTTCACTGTCTAAACCAGAATTTAAAATACAACTTGGTGTGTGTTATTGTGCAGTATGTGTGTTCAACATGTTATTGTGCAGTATGTGTTTGAAAATTTAAGACATAATTTCAAGATGTGAATTTTGATTAAATGTAACTTGTTGTCATTCATTTAGAGTTGATAAATATGATGCATCAGATGCTTGTTTTGTCAGAAATGACGACAAAGTCATGTGGTTTGTAATAATTACTTTGTTAATATTTGAACATGGACTCCTCAGAAATGTCAAGGCTGCCAGTCTCAAATCCTCTTTCAGTGTGAAGGAGGAATGTTTCCCTCTTTTCCACTCAGTCCATCACACCCAAACGCCCTCTTGGTCTGAGCAAAAAGGGAAGTGAAACTGGCATCACTTCCTTTTCTCGTCTCTGCCTATAAAAAGATGAAACCAACAACACTCAGAACACATTTCAGGCTGTTCAGTGTAGAATGTGCAGGTTTGCTTTTGAGTGAAGGAGAAAAGTGTGAGTGGAAGCTGCTAACTGGGTCAACAGAGGCTGAACACTGAGGAGACATGCAAGCTGTCATTGGACTGTTTCTGATGCTACTCAGATTCTCTCACGGTGAGCCTTTTAACTTACAACTAACAACACAGATTCAAACTGAAACTTCTTGCCCAGTTTGTTTCACATACATTTTTGAGTGGTATTTTATTGTGGTATCTGCGCAATACCCATAGTGTCTGATCAGCATCTTGATATGCCACACCTGTAAGGTGGATGGATTATCTCGGCAAAGGAGAGGTGCTCACTAAAACAGATTTTGACAGATTTGTGAACAATATTTGAGAGAAATAGGCCTTTTGTGTACGTAGAGAAAGTCTTAGATCTTGGAGTCCAGCTCATAATGAATGGGGGCAAAAACAAAAGTTTTGTGTGTATAATTTTGCTCAGTGTATGTAGTCATGAGTATAGACAGGTTAGAAACCACCTGTAATTACCACTTTTATTGATAAATTTTGTTAGAAGAGCTCAAATATCAGTTTCAAACTGCTGCAGTTGTCAGTTTATTCTTCAAAGGTTCAGTGACTTTTTAATTCTAGTTATTTCCAAGAGCAATGGCAAATCATTGTGCAATAAGATAAAAATACAGTAAAAATCAAAATGAGTTTTGAAAATTGACCCATTAAATTAATAATTAGAGTGCTTCATCACCAACAGTTTTCGATTTTCCACTTAATTTTTTTCTCAAGTCACTTCAAGTTTTCCACTATTTTCTAAAATAGTTCTGTAGGGGTGTTTAAAAAAAGAGTGAAGTTAATTTAGCTAACTATATGTAAAAAATATATTACAGTGAAATATGTTTAATATGTTAGTTGAACCTGTTACTCAGCTACACAATATTAAATGTCCGTTTGCGTTGTCATGGTCATTCAAAAAATTTAATGATTTAAGTATGATATTTACATTTTTTTAAAATATATTTTCTCAAATTTCCAGGTATGAAAACATGTGATGGCAGAGAGGATGTAGGTCTGTTGATTTTGATGAAATCGAAGGATCAGAATTGTTTATGTCTTTAACTGCTTATGTTTCAACACTTCCAGGTGTGGAAACATGTGATGGCAGACAGGATGGAGCTCAGTGTTATGGCACTTTGGGAGGAACTGTGGTCCTCCAGCTGATGGACAGCGCCTCAGAAATATTTAGATACCAATTGTTAAAAAACACAACAATAATACTCAGTGGGACAAAGAATCAGATTGTGTCTAATCTGACAGAAAACAAATTCTCATTTACTCCCAGTGATGGAACATTTAGGATCAACAACCTGAGCTGGACTGATGGTGGTGAATATACTCTAGAAATCTTTGATTCAAATGGAAAGAGATCAGAGCAGCGGACTCTACATTTGATCATTCGAGGTAAAAAATCATTTTTGCCAACAAGGTAAAAAAATATTTTTGTTAACTTAAAAATCTGTGTGTCTCATGTGTCCTTTATTACAGAAATAGGAATTTTGCCGATAATCGCCGGCGTACTCTCTGCACTGGTAATTCTCTTGGCAGTCGGGGTGGCAGTCGTCTTTGCTCACAAGAAACAGGAAAACAACAAACCTAAAGGTACTAAACAAAACTTTCTTAAACCATCATTGCATTCAGAAACTGTTGTTTTTCTCTCTCTATTTACAAATCAAAACATTAGACAATACATTTATACATATTAAAATATATTACATACATATTTTGGACAATACATTTGGCTTTCTAGCAGAAAGTTAGATCACTGAGTGGTAACTGTTTTCTCATCTAGCTCTCAGCAAGAAAGCAATAAAGCATATTTCAGAATTTGTGAAACCATTCCTTTAACAATCGACTGATATCACTTCTGACATGAGCAGTAATGTCACCTTTATTGTAGTGAGTATATCTAATCATTAAATGTGATGTATTTGCATCACCAATTACTTTTGCTCTGCAGAAGAAGAAGTTGAACAGGAATTAACCTATGCTGATGTCAGGGTCGTGCAGCCACCTGGGAGGCAGATGCAGCAAAGAGAAGAGGTGGAGGTGGAGTACGGCCAAGTCAAGATTTCAAAGCAACCTCGGCAGACCGTTGAACCAACAGGAGATAAATAATAATAAAATAATAAATTATTTTATTTTTAACGGCCTTTCATGCCACTCGAGGTCACCTTGCATCATAAAATACGACAAGAGGCAATTATATATTGCATCATTAAAACAAAAAACAGAAAAGTAAATAAAAGTAAAACTATATTTTGAGGTCCCTTAGGAGAAGGCCCTAGCACCCATTGTACTGAGGTTGATGGGTGGTACTGCCAAAAGATTTAGACTGCAGGAAAGCGAGAAAGAGTGTGGGTCTGAATGAGGTAACTTGCTGTAGCATTTTGTATGAGTTGCAGTTGGTGAAAAAGTTTTTTGGGGATGCCTGCTAAATTTGCATTGCATTAATCAGGGATGTGCACAGACATTTTGGTGGGCAGGGGCTCAAGTTAAAAAAAGGGCATTTTTTAAACAAGACAAATATATTAACTTTTTATTTTCTACAAAATAATCAGTTCACACAGAGACCACGGTCTTCTTTAGTATTCACTAGATTTATCACAGGAGCAGGCGACAGAAACGCAAACTATGCCACAATGTGCATGTTTTCTATGCTACTAGTTTCAAGTATATATTTATGACATAGTTTCATTAATAATGTGTTTATTTTTCATTCATATTCTTTCCTGTCACTGTAGCAACACCAGCTCACATTACCACACATCCCCACAAACACACATTCACTACTTTGGCTACATTTGTGCATAGATGGTGAAATAATATAAGCTGTAGGCCTACTGTACGTAACAGCAAAAGCATTTGTGTTGAAAAGAGACGGGGACATAAGGTTCGAGAATAGGGGTGTGATGAAAGACTTTGGTCATGAGAACAAGAGGAAAAGATATTCTATAAATATTCTATGATGAAATATATGAGTCGGTCGTCTGGGGGTCATCCCCCTGAAGATTTTAACATTAAACTCTTAATTTACTACATTCTGGAGACATTTTCGGCACCAATCTGTGGAGTGTCTTTATTTATATGAATGGCAAAATCAAATTCAGGTGGCAGGTGACAATTCAAAATTAAAAAAATTATAATGGCATATAATGCAGTAATCAGTAGCTTTTTTTGTTGCTTAAGTAACTTTCAATGATTTCAGCCCGACAATGACAGGACAATGATTTAATATGAATCTCTTGCTAAACGTTTCCCGGCACTAATTAAATCTTGACCCAACCATTTCATGCAGATACAGGGAGGTGGTTGGTCAATATGAATGTTTAATTTTTGGTCAATGGAGATATTTAACTTTTATTGCCAAAAACAAGTAAAAACAAAGAGATCATTTTATTTATTGTATACATACTCAATGATGATGGTTTATATAATGTATAATATAATTTTATATTAGTATTAGTACTTTGTTTACCTATTTAAAAAATAATATGTAAAAAAAATAGGTAAACAAAGTATCAGCTCCAGCATTTGAATGACAGTGTGGCAAGTTTTTATAGACTAGATATTGTACAGTATTTAATATTTTCTTAAGAAGAAGTTAATTCAATCTCTTATCTTTAGGTTATGTTGCACTTCTTCATTTTAACTTGTGTCTACTTAATGAGCATTTTTACTTTTATTTCATTTGTAATAACGACAATACAAACTTTAAGAAGGAAATTTTCTTGTATTTTTTGTATTAGTCTACAATGATTGGCAGACATGAACAGTACTCTAAGTGCCTGAACAAGTGGCATCAGTATGTTTATAATGTTGGTTGATCACATGTTTACATGTCGTCAAAAATGGTTACTTTTAACTGCATGTTAAAAGTTCAAAGTAATAAAGTTTGCATTTACTTAAATCAAAATCTATTTATAAACACATGTTGATGGATGAGTCAAGGGTCAAAGTTTATCAAACAAACTAACATGCTCTTGCATTTGAGATTTATTAAAGGTTGTGGGAGTCCAGGAGTGTTAATCTCAAATTCAACCAAGCTGTCTTCCTTTGGTTTTCCAGCCTAAAGATAAGTTAAAAAAAATGTCTTGTCTCTGAGGAAGTTCACAGTATGTACGCATGTTTCCTTGAGGTAAACACTTCTGCTTTTTCTCAAACATCATCTTTTAGTCTTACAACATTTGTTCGTTTCACAAGGTGTTAAACCAGTTGTGACAGTTGACAGTAATATATCCCCTCAATGCAATGATAAATATTAGTGGGTGTGTAGTTTTAATTTTGCTGCTTGCTCTAATATTTAAGTTATTGGGATGATTAGTCTGTTTTAGATGATCCAGACATAGATAATATAGCCTAGTCTTTTCATCTGAAATTTGAAATACACTTCCACCTTTCCAACAGTTTTTCTTAATACAGTCAGTTAGCAGCAAAGGAGGAACACCTTTTAATAAAAGAGGGTTGTTCTCTTCTTTTTTCTGCTTTACTGAAACAATAACAAAACTGAGATGGACAAGTGCTTTTGTAGAATTTAGTAAACTCAAGCACATGAGGTTCAAGAGAAAAGGCAGGGGCGGATCTGGAATTTTAGGAAAAATCCCGAACGGCCAATCCATTTTAGGCCGAACCGGCCGGTGTGCAGGACTTTTTATTTATATTTTTCAACTTTAAATTATCTGCGACTGTGCCGGCCGGTCAGCTGCAGCGAATGCTGTCTGTGTGTCTATCAGACTGGGCCAAACCAATACTTTAAATATTGAGGGGTGATACGAGCGGCCCCTCCTAACTTCGACCGATCCCTGTTTTTGCTGAAATCTGATTGGCCCAACAACAGCGATCAAAGGAGTTTACTTTCCATCTAGGACAAGTTTAATCTCAATACATTTTGTAGGGCTGAACTCAGCCCAGGGTTGTGTGACAAGCACAATAGAGCAGGTAAATAGAAAGTTGTGGTGCCGAAAAAATAAGATTTTAGAAGACAAATATATTGGCACAATGCCATATAAATGCGCCAAATTATCCGGCCCCTTCTTTGGTGGAAAGGTGCTGCGCCAGTGCAGATGAGGCAGACCCAGCACAGGCACTGTAATGCATTTATTATAACCTGAGATTATTTATATATGCATTTCTACATAGGCATATAGGCTAAATTATATATTTTATATATTTTAAACAACAGTTGAAGGTAGAAATAAGAGGAGGAGGAACAGGAGGAGCTGTAGGAGAAGGACGAGGAAAAGAAACATTATAGGAGGAGGAGGACAATGGAACCAGAAACAGTGACAGGTACTGGGTCAGTGTACAGGGCTGCAGTAGGCAATTATCCATAGTTGGAATTAGAAACTGGATTATTGATAGTCATATTTAGTCAGGGATAGGCCTACTCAGAGCTGAAGCTGAGGGATTTGATTTTTATGCACACACATACACACTGCTCTATTTAATGGAACTGCATTGTAGTATTTGATTTATTTAACTATTTTAGCACTCTGACTGACTCAGGCTTGCCTGACCTGGTCTTGTTCAGTGCAGCGGTGCCTTGCTTATACATCCTTAAGAGGCGGGTGTCACAAAAGTTTCTTGAAGGCCTTTTTCATAATGAAATTGACTGTATACAAGTACAACACTATTTATTAAAATACCTGCAAAAATCTTTCACCGCGCCCCCATACGGCACTCGCATAAAAAATGGTTTCCAGTTTAGAATGTAGGTGTCACAACAGAAGTATAGATATCAATGTTACTCAACTGTAGCAGCAATCAACACTTTGTGTGAAGTTTTAATAATTCAATTTTTCAGTGTTGTGTTAAAGTCGAGAAATTTGTCTGGACGCTGCTGATTCGGTCAACAGAGGCTGAAACTAAGCACATGGAAGCTGTGATTGGACTGTTGCTGATGCTGTCTCTCATGGTGAGCTTATTAACTTGTTTAATTGGACACATTTTATACAGCCATGGGATAGGTACATTATAAAATGTCTGACATCAACTTCCATGATTGTTTTGCTCTTCACACATTGACCTACCCTGGGACCACATTTATACAACAACATTGCAGTCCTGAAATGTCATGTGCTATCTTTGGAAACTTGGGGGCTTCACTAGAAATGTAAGATGAAGTCTTGTAAGTTTGAGTTAAAGTTTTTCACTCAACAACATGAGTTTAGATGTTGTGTCTTACACCACAAAAATGAGTACTATAGTAACTAAAGTCAAACTCTTCCAGTCAGAGGACTGTGAAATAATAACAATTGTAGTGAACAACGGTGTGGATTTGTGCATTTTACATTGAATAAATTTGGAGCTACCCTAAATTCCTTTCTCCTCCCCAGAGAAGAAGGGGAGGGGTCAAAGTTGCTTTCTCTAAGTGCTATCCCGACCATAAAACTGGCACCTTTTTG